AACCCATCTTTTGGGGTTGTTTTAATCACTGTTTTGCAGCATTTTAGTTAGCTGATTTGAGGAAAAAAATATGGTTGTTCTTGCTCAAAATCCTCACTATTTTGGAACCACTTTAGGTGTCAGTTTGGCTGATTTTGTGTTGTTTTGGAGCTACTTTACGTGTGAATTTGGGTTCATTCTGTGCACTGTTTTGGAGCCAATTTAGGTGCCTGTTTGGGCTGATTTTGTGCAATGTTTTGGGGCCACTTTAAGTGCCGGTTTGGGCTAATTTTGTGCAATGTTTTGGGGTCACTTTAAGTGTCGGTTTGGGCTGATTTTGTGCACTGTTTTGGAGCCACTTTAAGTGTCGGTTTGGGCTAATTTTGTGCAATATTTTGGAGCCACTCTAGTTACCGGTTTGGGCTGATTTTGTGCAATGTTTTGGTGCTACTTTAGAAGTTAGTTTGGGCTGCTTTTGTGCACCGTTTCTGAGGCCGCTTTAGGTACCGCATCGGGCATGTTTTGCACCATTTTTTTTTAGACATTTTGGGTACTGATTTAGGCTGATTTTGGCACTAATTTGGGGTGGTTTTGTGGGCTGGTTTGGGAGTGATTTTTGCACCACTTTGGCACTATTTTGGCACTGTTTTGGAGGCATTGTAAGCATCATTTTGGTGTTTTATGCACCGACTTTGGAGAGGTTTATGTAGCCTTTAAGTGTTGATTTACGCATGGTTTGAAGTTGGATTTCAAGAGCCCTTTTGCCCACTCTTTTTAGGGTTTCTCTTGATTATTATGTAAACGCTTTTAGGTCAATTAACTTGTTATTTTCACCCTTTTTTGGCTTTGCTAGTTTTGGATATGGGTCGGTCTTCTTTTTTCTTTTGTTTCATTTCCCTTGTTAAATGATTAAATCAAAAAATGAGAATTTCTGATTTGATTAATTGGAAGACACTTAAAGATATTTGAGGGTGAGTTGAAAAATACTTAATTTATGGTAAAACACCTTAAATCACTTTAAGCATAGGTTAAAGTATAGGCTTCCTAGATCTTATGAGTATATCCTAGGTGATAGTCTATATACCTAATTTTCAAATGAATGATGAAACTAGACACTTGATCTTAATTCACCAATACCAATTGATTAAAACAATTGATTAAAACACTAAACATGAGGATACACTAAGATGTGGTAAATATCTTCCGTAGTTAAATTTACTAATGAAATTCGCGTCATGATTTAACCCACAATGAAACCCAATGCTCTGGGATTCGAGCTAGAACATTACACTCAAATCCTCCTGCCAATTGGGGACATTCTTAATGTCACATATAAATCACATATTACTAGTCATTTATACGTGACAACGTGTTTTGTTTTAGTCGTTCGTGTTTATTTTCTATAATTTATTTAGATTTTCCTGTACCGGATTTTCTAGAAATTTAGTTGAGTTTCATGTGTTTTACTGTTCTCATGGCTGCATTATTTACTTTACAAAAATTTGCACCTTAAGGGTAGAGAACAGTAGTACACATGTTAGGAGGTACCCTACGACAGGCCCTCGGACCCAACCATTGCATGTACACCACAAAACCTTAATACCGGAGTCGCTAAGTTACAAAGCTCGGCGCAAACTTCGTGGGCAGCACGACAAGAAGCATGGAGGTCATAAGCAGAGGTGATCGACATTCTACAACAACAAGAACAATATATGCATTAACTAAACCATTCCTTAAAATTAGACAACAAATTAATAAGAACTCAAGGTAGTTCGTCTAGAGCGACGTAAATCCTCACTTTTCTTAAACTTTTGCATAACCACATTGTGCAATTTAAGTCCTAATCATTTTCAGGATTTCGAGGTCGTCCGCCTGATAAGACGTAAATCTTCCTTTTTTTAGGCTATTTGTACGATCGGATATCTTACAAGTGTGAGCCCTTAAAAAATAATAATTTGCATGATTGAAATATTTAAATAACATCGTCTCCAAAACTCAGCCACACGGTAGGATAATTTGGGAAGTCACTGGGGGACCTCCTCAGGATTTGTGACGTCCCCTACATTTTCCTTCCTTCGGACTCCTAAAAATAATTGTTCCTATTTGAGTCACTCTCATTTGTTTTTTCACGTCATACCATGAAAACCTAAACTTTGAATTCTTGAAAACTATTATTTTTTATCATCATCGAGAGTTTTCTTAAGTGACCCCCGTCAATTAGAATGTAATTAATTATAGGGGTTTACCTCTACAGAGAACTTCAAACTCAGGTAAAATAAACCCTACTTAATCTTTATATTAGGTAGGGGAACTTGTCGGTTACACATAAAAGGTACGCAGGTCAAACGGATGTCACAAATCTCTTAGTTTGCAGGATTGGGTCCATCGCCGAGATATACACTTATCTTTCGGGAATGTGCAATATTGGCTTATGAGATCCACTTGGTCTCATTTTTCGAAAATTAAAACATACTACTTTCAAAACTCAAACTATATGCCTAATATATTAAATTAAATTTAAAAATTATTTTCAAAATCAAAAAGTTGACCGACGCACCACTTGTCAGCACTGGTCTTATTCCCCTTCAACTAGGCTAAGAAATATGGTTCAGAATATTTCTATGTAGTGAGGCTCAATTTCTCTAGTAATCAATAGAAATATTATATTCTTACAGTTATCTCCGTCTATGATAAAACTGCACACATTCAATTTCACAATACAACAGGTATAACAGAAACTATGTCTAAGTCATGTTGATCTTTTTTAGTCTGATCTGAAGAACTCGTCGAACCACAAGTATCTCACAACCATTTATGGGTAACTGATATTTTATTTTATCTCTTTCCCTAAGTCTTCATTATCCGTTTATTCTACTGCACTCCACTCGGTAAATAAAACCATTCATGTTTGGCTAGTTGGATACAATATGCCCATATTTATGACAAGTAAAGTGCTTCCTAACTAAAATATACTAGCAGTGCTCACCTAATCAATCCTCTTTTTTTCTTTTGTGTTGGCTTCTCATGAGAAATGAGATTTGGGCCATCCAGTTGATGTGCTCTTGTTATTTGATCCACTAATTGAACCCTATTTGAAAGATGATATGAACCTAACACTGTTGTGCCGTCTCTCCACATTCAAGAATAAGGTATGAATGTTCTATAACATCTAATACGGTTATAACTGCACCACATTGCAAATAGATGGTCTCAATCCTCCAAAATATCTAGCTATGGTGTTCTCATCAGGCTCTACTAACTCACATTTCGACATAAACTGCTTAAACTAGGTAGAGTGCTCCACCACAAACAGCCTACTAAAAATGGTGATATCTTAAAAAGACATCTTGTCTATAACATGTTGAAAGTTATTTGCGCTAAATCTCTTTCTACATCTTGGATCAAGTAATGATCTTGCTTTTCTCTCACATTAGCGTGAGCACTTCAGATTTTCAAACAACAAGGAAGCACTCTTCTTTAACTTAATGGCAGCTATTGTTACCCTCTAATCAGGTGAACATCATTGTACTCAAATACATTTCCACTGTCTGGAGCAAGTCAATGAACTCATCCAGATCCATACAACTATGAAAATATGGTAAATAAACCTTCATTCCAAAATTACTCCCTCTTCTCTTATACTAAATGTCGAACTGACACAACATCGACTCTCATTCACTTGAAGCTTCTTGGTGAAAGGACTTTCATCCTCTCCTCCATCTCAGTGTTCACCATTAATGTTGTGGGCGACTTTTCCATGTTGCCACAATACAAGAATAGCGAGTCTCCGCTACAATTAGAGGATTTTCCGTTGTATATCCTCCATGATAATCTCTTGAGTACCACGTGAAAATTTTCTCCTTCGTGGCATAGTGTTTTCTCTTCACTTTGGGGTTTCGGCTATGGGAGGATTGTGAAACTAAGGTTAGTCAAGGATTTAGGTTTACGTGGTAAGTGTAGAGACTGATTTTTTAAGTGGTGATAGGAAGGTCAAATTTTCAAGGTTTAGGATTAGGGCTGGAAATTGAAATTAGTATTTAAGTCTAATACCAAATGACACTGTCAATGAACACTAGGTGTTTAAAGATCAGAATAAGCAAGGGGATGGTTGTAGAATAGCAAGGAAGAGAGAATATGCGAGGTCGAGAAAATTTGGCAGGGAATTGAAAAGGCTCGGCGGCTGTCTGGACTGAAAACAATAAAGACAATAAAGAAATGATATTTTTGGCGAGGCACATCTGCCAAAAGAGATCCACCGCATATCTGAATAAGCTACAAGCACATCACTTTCGATTGAAAGAAAATACAACACTACTTAGGGTAGAAAAATAAGAGAATAAAAAATGCATAAAACAAAACAAAAGTCCCAAAACCATATAATAACAATATATATATATATATATATAATATATAAACCCTAAAACTAATTAAATATAATAATAATAGATGGGGTACTGCAAGGCCTGTTGGCCCTGTGGATGAGAGAGATCCTGAACTGGGGCTTCAGGGAAGAGTTTTTTCGCATTGGTTCGGAACAGGACACGACCCCGCATAAGCGGGAATCATGGGATCGCAGAACCGCTAATGCATCACGTTTTGAACAAATTCAATTAATCTCCTTTTTTATGATGAAAACAGTTCTCAACATTAAATAAGCACATAAAATGTATTGATCTTGAAATATTTCTGACTCAATCAACAGAGCATTGCTTCTTCAGATAAAACCGCTTAAAGTCCCGGCCAAACTCATTTAGCCACTGTTTACTTTAATTATATTCCTAAACAGACTTCCTCGTATGCCGTGAACTGCAATAGAGAAAAACATATCGACAGATCTTCACTATGAACAGTCAGATTATGCAGGTTTAAATTACTTGTATTAATTTATCATTCTTAGGAGTCATTCTTTGTAAATAACACATTGAAGATCAATTATTTTTCACGATTGTAAAAGAAGCATAAAAGAGATTAAAAATGGTGGAAATGAGGAGAAAAAAATAAAAAGCTCATGGAAGTCGTACCCTTCACCTTCCATTCTATCAGAAAACGCACACAAGGGACTATTTGGTTCAAGGGGAGAATCGCAAGAGTCATTTTCAGCAGAGTCACTCTCCCCTGTGGCAGGAACGTGGGATATAAAAATAGCCTTCGTTGAAAATGGAATCAACTGTCCAGGAAAGCGCATAAGATCAACTAACAGTTCCACAGAGTTTAACATAACCACCACCGATATGTGCTTATATGAGTCTGCACATTCAACACCACCATCCGGGGGAAGGCCCTGTTAATAAAATAAGCAGGAATGAAAATAAGCAGGAATGAGAATTACGATGCCAACTTTCTAAGCATGCATAATCATGCCAAGAATATTTTTTTTCCTTAAATTAGGTAACGATAACAAAACAACCTACTGAAAAATAGTCTCAAACAGAAAACAAGAAAACGCATTACCACCATAAGCTTGCTTTCAAGGCCAACAGAATCTGCAAGAACTTTAAATAGAATAGCACGGGGTCTGCATGATCCGTGTCTTATCTGCCCCAGAAGTTGGATGCCTTTATTTTCCATCAAATGGCAGACATCTTCCACGGCAGCTTTTGCAGGACTTAGCTCAGGGTTTGGACGTTTGTAGAAGTCAAAAACCTGATTAGTGAATGACATTAAATGTGATATTCATAAAAAAGAGTTATGCTCCATGCTAAAAAGTATGAGGTACAAATGGGTTTTCAAAAGTTTAAAATATATAAAATGGGCCCAGTAACAAAAAGATTATTCATGCATGTACTCAATCCAGAAACCTAAAGAAATCTAACTACTACATCATCACAATATAGTGACAAGCTTGAGTGTTTATTCATTCGTAATCACCATCAAATATTTTATGGTCCCCTTGCAAAAATAAAAATGCCGCAAAAAAAAGAAAATATTTAGAAGCAAGTAACATGATGATTAGAATTAACCAAAAGGTATGAGAATAGTTTTCCAACTCAGAATGGCATATAATATGAAGGATAGAATATATAGGCAATGCAATAAACCTCTAAAATGCAATAACATGAACATCTCAAATGTTTTAAAAATGTTAATTAGTTTATTTAAAAACCCATGCTGGCCTCCAGCACACCACCCCAGAGGTGTACTTATACATTCACATAAAAGATGTCAACATTTTAGTTTTAAACGCTGTCCTGCTCGTGCCTTAGTGCAGTTTAGCATACAGCGGGATGCCCAAAGCACCAAAATCGTAAAATTTCCATAATAGTTGAAAATTTGATGAATCAACCACAAAAGAGAGGGAAAATGAACTGAAAAATCAGACCATTTATCAATGACAGCTCTCAAAACAGAACGCACATTTTTATACCTTGGTTTTTAGTAGTATATGAATCATGTCTGGATAGCATAAGAAGAGGTAGGAATGATCAGAACAGAATGTTCTTTTTTATATTCAGGGCTAAGCAATCATCCAAGCACGAATGACAAATTATACAAGCATATAGGATGTAAGAAAGAAGCAACAGGTGGTGCAGAGAGGTGGGGAAAACTTACTAAACCAGCTATCTTCTTTATCAGTAAAGCAGGATTGTTGTTTAAACCTTTTACAAGTGCCGCACTCAACTGCTTCAACATGGAAAGCTTCTTATCTTTCTCTGTGTCAACAAGAATAATATCAGCTTTAAGCCCGTCAGCACCCAGTGCATGAAGGTCATCCGGGGAGGGAATGGCATCAAAAAGATCCTTAAGCTTTTTATCCTGCAAAAAAAAAAGATCACAAACAATCTTCATCATATGTATGATAATTTAAATGATAAAAAATTGCGTGGGTTTGAACTTTGAATTAATGGAAAGAGTAAATAAAATCATTCTACCCTAACAAGCAAAGGAAAGCACATGTAAAAAGCAAAAAAAAAAAAAATAGCATATGAGCACACAAAAAATCTAAAATATGACATATCTCATGGGAACGTGATTCTAACATATTCCGAGTATTAAAAAAATTTGCCAACTACCTTAGTCCTTGAATAAAGATTAAAGAAGAAATTAAACTATTTAAATGGATATAATCACCAAAAAAAGGCAAAACCATCTACTCATAAAGAAAAAGATTAGCACAAAAGGTAAAATATTCCAGAACAATATTTGTGAAATCCAGCAATTAATATTCCAGAACAATATTTGTGAACCATATTAAAGTTGCAACTAAAGAACAACAATTTTCTTAAATCTTGACTTTTAACAGTTGTTAAAGCATAACAAGACTACTACAGAAACGTGGATAGATGGATAGCTATATAAATATTAAAAAATAAAAGACCAATTTGTTCTTTAAAAAAGGAAGGTAATGAAAAGTGAGTGATAATCTTCTGAAAGGAACCGAGTTATATACAGATATCTTCGCCTAGAGACAAAAGAGATTATCTAGCAACAACAACAACAACAACAACAACAAAGCCTTAATCCCGCTACGTGGGGTCGGCTACATGGAAAGTGTCATATTTTCATTTAGTTCTAGTAAATTAAGATCATTTTTCATACAATAAGCCCAAGTCTTCCTAGGTCTACCTCTGCCATTCACTGCCTCAAATTAAGAACAAAAAAGAGATTATATGATGGTAAAAAATAAAATAAGCCATTCACAGCCTCAAATTAAGAACAAAAACTGATGAGGAGTTCAAATTTATCTGGCATCCAACAATATGGAATAAAAAAAAATCTTAAAACTAACGGTGGTGTGCTGCTGCTAGAACAGTTGAACAAATGAAATACTTCACAAAGAAAAGAGCAAAAAAATAACAACTATAATGAAAAATATTTTGCTCACTGGGATGATGGAGTAAAAACCGTTAGGAATCGGCCCAGACAAACTTCCTGTGGACCACAAAGTTTGTGATGCAACCAGTGATAAGATTTCAACTTTATCTTCATTGTAAGCAGGCTGTCTGGAATTCAAATTTTCTTCATGCGAAACTAATGACACTGCATGAAATCTTTCCACAAAATCTGATTGGAAACAATTAGCATTGGAAGTCCCTGACACGGAGTTTCCTGAATCACTTGGTATCTCCTCCATTTCCCAAATATTCAGACGTATAAAGCATCTTGACAGAAAATTTCACCAAATAATCATCTATTTTTCATGGAAAACACATATAAGGTTCCAATAAGAATATGATTAAAATTCATCCTTTCCGTAATGATCCATCAGAAAACTATAATATCTGCAAAAAATAACTTACATAAGCTCATGAAAAAAAAACCAAGCATAAAAAAAAAAAACTGTCCAAAAAACTCAAGAAACTTCAGTGAAACAACAAGACTTTCCACAACTTGTCGACAACTGAATCTAGAGCTAGACATAAAAAAAAGCCAACAGCAGAAATATGCCACTCTGAAATTTCAGAAAAGGCAACATATAAAAACAGAAGCCTATCTAATTCACGGTCCTTCCCTCAAATTACATACCGGTGGCACTTTTTATGATTGAATATGGAATGAACATATTGTTTATGAAAGACAAATATTACAGCCCTATTGGCAGTTTCATTGCACAGTTGAGTTTGCTAGCAAAAAAAGATTAAGCATAATGTTTACCAAAACAAACTTGAGTGCTTGAATGCTAATGGTGCACATTGTGTTCTCAATTCGGTTAGAATGTTGTAAGCAAATTGAATTTGAATATGGCATGAATATATAGATTATGCGAGAAAAACTCAAGAACATTAAACAAAAACTTTCATAGCATCATCAAATATCATGCACGAAAACCATGTGGAGCTTTTGTGGAAGTCACCTGCATTTGAAATCGAATGCAATAAAGACTCATGGGAGCTACGAATAGTATGAATTACTCCATAACAACCAAAACAATAATTCTAATACCATCTATTAGAATGTATAAAATCAAATTAGTCCCAACATACCAATGCTTAAACTCAATTCAAGCCAAAAAATTTAAAACCTATAGTAAAGAGCCAAACATTTGGTATTTTACATAAAAATATTTTTCACCAATCCTTACACATTTGTTAGCACTATGAAACAAAGATTTGTCCTATCCTCAGATAAAGTTCAATGGCAAGCCTACACATAGATGGTACCACGATACTATAAAGGATCATAAGAGATCACAAAGCCAAACAAGGACTTAATTTATAAATTACTTAATTTATAAATTATAAGTAAACATGAATATTTAGGTATAATGTGTAATGAAAATGTGATTATATATGTTTTATTTTAATATGTTTTTGGTTTAATTTCATGCTTTTAAAAAGTGTTTCTAGTATTTTGCAGGAGTCAGGTTAGAAGTTCATCAAAGCTGAAGAACCAAAGAAACAAGCTAAGTGGAGAAGTAGCGTCGGACCAGCCGCCTAGACGTCGGAGCAGAGTGTGGCTAAGCACTTAGGCACCGGAGCGAAACGCTTAGGAACCGAAGCGGAGCACTTAGGCACCGGAGCGAAGCACCTAGGTGTTGGAGAAGCAGGATTTGATCCCAAATACAAAGAAGGCGGAAAGTAGGTGTCGGACCGTCAGCGCCTGAGCACTAAGAACCAATGCCCAGGCGCCGCATACCAAAGCCTAGGCATCACACACCAAAGTCTAGGCGTTGTATACTAGGGCCTACGCTCCGCATACTAGTGCTAAGCATCAGTTCAAAAGTTTTTTAGGTACATGCGGTTCATAGGCGTCGATTCATGAAAGAAGGAATAAAAGCCTATTCAACCAAAGATTTGGTCATTCTATACGCATGGGAGTGAAAAGAAAACGCCAAAGAAAAATGTTCCAAATAAAAGTGAGTGAGGTAAGGAGTGATTGTGAGATTTTTTCAATGTGTAATTGTGCATGTGATCTTAGCATTTCATTTAGAGAAGGAAGAGAGACAAGTTTGTAATCTTCTTGGTGTGTTCAATGGGCTTTTTACTTTTAAACTTGTGTTTTTCATATTTCCTTTTAATGAAATGATTATGTCGTCGTTCTCATGCATGATTAGTGAGTAGGATTATATTTCTACCTTATATTGGTGAATTAGGAGTTTTCGGTTTTTCTTTATGATTTTATTGAAGTTTTATAGGGTGATATTTGAAACTCCAATCATTCATTTACATTCAACTTGGCCAACTAGAAAGTTAATATAAGTTGCGATCTTCAATTTTCGAAAAAATCCTTAGTGGAACAGCTAGGTTAAAACAAATTAACTTAAGAGAATAGGAATATTGCTTCTAGGTTAGTGCAATCCTATAGAAAAATATGGAATTCTCGCTAATGATTTGATTTAGGGAACTAAACATGTATGATTGACAAGCCATCATAGACGGCCAGGAGGGGATAAGAAGACTTATACTCCTGATCGTCACAACAATTTGAATTACCAAATCGAATTTAGAATCTTGCAGGACCAATTCAAATGAGTGTTTTACTAGCATCAATAAACTTTGAAGGAATCTTTACCTCGTTACTCAGTTCAGTGAAAAGAAACCATCTTTGAAAGAAGTAATACTAAACATTGGGAATGAAAAACAAAGTCATTTTGCAGTTATTATGAATATAAAAGCACAACTTGGGCAAATAGCTAATTAATTGAATCAAAACTCCAAGAGACGTTATTGAGTAATATAGAGGTGAATCCTAAGAAAGGTGGAGCACTGCAATGCTATCGGACTTATAAGTGAGAATGTGTTTGAAGAGTCTAAAGTGGAAAAGCTTAAAATAGAGGAGTCTGAGTCTGAGTGTGATGGGCATGTAGATACTCTAACTCCAAACTCAGGAAAAATACATTCACCACATAGAATAGAGCGAGAAAGATCATCACCACATTTTCCCTAAAGATTGATTAAACATAAATTAAACTAGCAATTCTCAAATTTCTTAGAAATCTTCAAGAAGCTCATTATTAACATACAATTTGCCGAAACACTAAAATAAATGTCTAATTATGAAAACTTTATAAAACAATTTTCGAACAAAGTGAATTTTTAAATTTTCAAATTGTGGTTTTAACTGAAAATTGTAGTGCTATAATTTAAAGAAAACTTTCAAAAAATTAAATGATACGGATAGTTTAATCATTTCTTGCACTATCGGAGAATGATTTAATGGAAAGATGTTATGTTGCTCAAGAGCTAACATAAACCTAATGTCTTTATCAGTGTTTGAAAGACTATGACTATGAGAGCTTCAACCTCGCACTGTGACTCTTCAATTAGATGATCGTTCTTTAAATTTCACAAAGGGCGATAGAAAATGTCTTAATAAAAGTAGAAAAATTCATCTTGTCTGCTGATTTCTTCATGTTGGATATAAAAAAGATGTTGAAATCTTAATTATTTTTGGTTGAACTTTTCTAGCAACTAGTCAAGAGAACATTAATTTACAAAAAGATGAGTTAACTATTAGAGCGCAAAATGAGGAAGACACTTTTCAAATTCATGAATTTACATCACCCCTTGTACCTCTGACCAATGCTTAAGAGTGGAAATAGAAAGGTTGCATGAAATTTTAAATGAAAAATTGGAGAAGAAAATTTAAATATTTCAAAAAAAGGAAACTATGGAATCACACCTGAATTTGTTGGGAGAGAATTCAGGATATTTCAAATATTAGACGATAAATTGAGGATTAATAAATTAGATATATGATTCTAGATAAAAACTTTGAAATAATAAATCAGACCTCTTCACGTTGAGGATATTAAACCAAGCGCTACTTGGGAAATAGTCAAAGCGTTATCATGTAATGTGATTGCATGATCGCTTGCTTTATTATGCTCGTGCGAGGTTTCGTCAAGATGATGACGTTAAACTAAACACTTATTCAAAGGCAATCGAATATATTTTCTTTTATTTTTGTTGTATTTGAGTATATTTTGCTTGCAAGATTTCCTAAAATCACTTACCTCCCATGCAGCTTAGGAGCTCGAAATCAAAATTTGGCTTGTTTATGCTTTAGATGTTGAGCTTGTACCTGCATTTTTTTGTTAAGATTTACGTTTATATTCATATGACATAAATCTTTTTATTTTGTACTCTTGTTCTACCTTACTTTGCTCATATATTTTTTCTGTTTAATTACATAGTTTTTAATTTTAGTCGCCAAGCAATTTTTATTACCCTCTAATGTTCACTTCTTTGTTCTATTGTACGTGTATGTATATTGTTATGAATAAGTTTAGAAGAGGCATGTAAATAGAGGTGGCAGTCGTAGTTAAAGATAAATCAAACTAAGAAAGATAAAAACATACAAACAAAAGTGGCTTGTGTTTCTGGAATATTTAGAAAAAAGTTGTTATTCATTAACCATTGATCCCTAACAATAATAATTACTTACCTTTATAACTATTCCTAAATAATTTGTTAAATATTAACTGTATATAAATTTGATAATTCAATACTTTTAGTCACTACTTAATTAAAATAAACTGATTCTTAATTACCACATCTTGACCTATAAGCTTTTAAATTAAGTTAGGATGGTAATGAAAATTTAACTTGAGCGCATTGTTGGGAATCAAAATCATTATAAGAGCTAAACCAGATATAGTAATCAAAAGTAAAAGATATAGAAAAAGGGAAATAAAAAATAATAATAATAAAAACAAAGCAAAAAAAACTTTATAAAAATGTTCATAAAAAATAGAGAAAATGGTAACTGGAATATAATAGTTTAATTAAATAGATAACTGGATTTTAAGGTTGATATTGATTTTATTTTAGTTAAGCATGATATAAGTAACTTATGAAAATTATATAAGTTTATATTACAATTTGTTATATCATGATATTAGGGGAGAACTCTGAAAGTTTAATTTGAAAGAAAATACAAATCAACATTTACAAAAATATATTTTCTATGTAATTAGAAAGCATCAAATCTTTAATCGTTGATTTACATTTTCTAATTTTATATTTTAAAATTACTTGAGGCCAAGTAAAATTTAAATTTAGTAAAATTTGATGTGTACTGAAAATACAATCAGATATGTTTTATTTTAATCTATTTTTATGTTAACTTTATACTTTTAATAGAAGTTTGTGATCTATTTGCAGGATTTAGGTTAGAAGACTCATCGGAGCCCAAGAACCAAAAAGAAAAACTAAGTAGAAAAGTAGTGCCTAAGCACCGAAGTGAAGCGCCAAGGCGCCCAAGGAGTCATCATTTGATCCCAAATATAGAAAAGGCAAAAAATAGGGGTTGAACCATCAGGCTAGGAACCGACGCCTAGGCATCGCATGCCAAAGCAGAAGCATCAGCTCACACATTTTGATGGTTAGTGCGGTTCAAAAGCATTGATTTGCAAAGGAAGGAATAAAAGCCTCTTTGACGGAAGGATATGGTCACTCTACGCACATAGGAGTGAAGACAAAACACCAGAGCAAAAAGTTCCAAATGCAAGTGAGTGAAGTGAGAAGTGATTGCAAGATTTTCCATGTTTAATAGTGCTTGTAATCTCACCATTTCATTTGGAGAAGAAAGAAACACAAATTTGCAATCTTCTTGATGTGGGTTTTATCCTTTAAACTTGTGTTTTTGATATTTCCCTTAAATGAAATGATTACGTTGTTCTCAAGCATGATTACTGAGTAGAATTATCATTCTACCTTGAATTAGTGAAGTAGGAATTAAAAGTTGTTTAATCATTCATTTATATTCAACATGTCCGGTTGGATAGTTAAAATTAGTAGTGATCTTCGAGTTTAGCTTGGAAGAATATACATATTGCTTTTAGGTTAGTGCAATCTTGTGAAATACGGAATCGTGGGCTAATCAATTGATTTAGGGAACTAAATATGTATGATTGTCAAACCTTCTTGGACGTCCGGAATGGGATAAAGAGGAGTTCTGCTCCTGATTGTCGCATACAATTTGAATCACTCAATCGAACATAGAATCCTGTAAAACCAATTCAGGGGGGTATCTTACTAGTATCATAAAACTTTGTTGAAATCCTCACCTCATTAATTTAAGTTTTAATTATTTTGAACCTTAGGATTAGTGACTTTCCAAAAATATATGAACTTTATACCTTCGGTTAGATTCAAAATCAGTAGGCTAGAGGTTTTCACTTTGGGAATTCGCTTGTTCCTCGTGGAATAGATAGACGGACTCCGTTTTGTATGCTTCTTGAATAGCATGTATACTTACATGATTCGTCAGTATTTTGCAGCATTTGGACTATACCAAAGTATACTATCGATTGACTAACTAGAGATTGAGAAGCAAATAAAGCGTGAAGCAAGAGAGAGTATAAAGAAGACCCATCAAAAAGCATTCTTATGAAACTCTTAGAAGCAAGAAGTTATCGGTGCTAATGGTAAAACTAGAGAAACACATTAGAATTCAGTGGCATCTTTTTACTGATTTACCACCATTTAGGGGTGTAAAAGAGCCGAACACGATCGAGCCCAGGGTCAACTCGTGTTTGGCTCGTTTATATTTTAAGCTCAAAAAGTGTGTTCGTGTTCGGCTTGTTTACTTAACGAGCCAAACACGAGCTATTCACAAACAAAAAATCGTTTTGACAGCCCTAATCACGTAACCATAATATGTTAAGAGTTAGGGCAATATTTAAAAATTATTGTTTATATTAAAACATCATTTGAATCTAATTTAATAATATTTACTCCATTTTCTTAGTTAATACTTTTAATTGATTATAGATCTTTGTAGCTTTGTAATCAATTTTATATATATATATATATATATACATATATTTTATGAAAAACCCAATGGCTGATTTTATTGAAATAGAAAATGATACATAAATGTTGTATGAGAAGAACCCAAAGAGGCACATTACCATATGATACAAGTACAGTAATACCCCAACAAAAGGATACAGATAGACTCAATAAAATGAAAAACAAATTTAAAACATGCAGAAAACAAGGTGTGTGTGCGTGTGTGTGTTTATATATATAATTGATTAGTATATTGAGCCAAAACGAGCTGAACAAGAACAAACAAATCTTTGTTCGTGTTCGACTCATTAACTTAGCGAACAAGCCGAACACGAGTTGTTCGCGAACAAGGAGCCTTTTTGACAGCCCTACCACCATTAAAAATTTGAATCTCCATCCTATCTTAATAACTCTTCAAGATAATTCACTAAGCCAATTTTAAACTCTTTGCTAATCAAAATGGATTGCATAGGCATGAAATCTTCACCCACTCTTAAGAGAAATTGTTTTGCATTTTAGCAAGCAATCCTCATTTAACACTTTCATTTCCCATTATGTACATGTTCACACGTAGACTCGTCCACACTTCCCAATCATTTTTTCCATTGAATAAATAATCCAAGTTGTAACTCCCAATGAGAAACTTCTTCCCATGAGAAATTTCTTCCCATAAGAAAAAATAGGAATTAGTTTAATTTTTTAAACTTTTCATTGCAAATGAAAAATTAAGTTGTTGAGCACCTATTACCAATAGGGCATTCCATAAATTGTTAAAAACTGGGAATTGGCGATCAAGTGTCCTAACCTTCCATCCATAAGTGCTTCAAAAGATGAAAGTCAGAGACCATCTTCAACATGACAAACATAAATCAACAACAAACCAATTAGCACAACACCTCAACTCAGAGATCAACAATCTTATCCTCCTAACGAAGTAGCACAGAACAACTTCATAAAGAAGAGATTGTTTTCAAGGACAATCAAATTGATCACCATATCATAGCATAGGTTATGTAAAACCATTAAATTGATCACCATATCATAGCATAGGTTATGTAAAACCATTTGATAGCATGCTACATATCAAATAATAACAGAAAACAAAGACTTTTACTGGTTTAAGTAAGCAAGATTCAATTAACACTCTCATCAGTCTGTACTTTCATTAACAAGTCATTTTGTTTGACCTTCCACAGTAAAAAAAAATGTTCTTCTCTTTGCATTGAACTCTAAAACTTTTTTAATAAAGCTCGAATATCCTATGACTTCTCCTGCTGAGGCCTGCTTGCTAAAGTTTGACGTAATAAAATCAAGTACTTCAAGTCAAAAGGGCATGTCAATATAATAAAAATCAAAATCTCCATCCCGCGCGTACAAAAAAAAGAATCAGTATATATTCTAGCATACAACATTTATGTAAACACACAGAAATTGTGTGGTGTATGTAAATCTTCCGAAATATAATTGTAAAGCTTCAATGGCAGGAGATGGCTCGTGGGCAATCAAACTTGCTTTCCAATACGAATATCAGAGTCGGAAAGAATCTTCAAATTCGCTTATAAACAGCCTAATCACTCATGCATAGAAGTTCAGACTTCGTAAATCTAATTCTCATCACAGTCCCAAAACTTTCAGATATCATAACAGAAAAACCGAAATCATTCAACCAAATTTAAGACGCAATAATATCAAAGGCATGATGTAGAGCTGAATATATGCTTGCACCAAAGGATGCGAGGGGCTTCAAGAATTCACAATGAAACTGCTCAAGTTCGCATGCTAGAAGCGCATGTACTTGAAATAATCCGCCTGACACGGTGAAATTTGACCCACGCATAAATTTCCAAAACCAAAACAAGCGAATACAACTTCTTTTCCCAAAAAGGCATCAATTAAAGACTGCCAAGGTTCAACCTTATTCAAATTGTAGAAATCCGAGGCCACGCAGATCCCAAACCAACAGTAAGCAACGTGTTGTGAACTTCATTCTTTCCAAAAATTAAATGAAACAGAACAAAGATTAAAGAAATGGGGATCGAATCCAATATAGAAAAGACGGAGGAATGAGCAGAGACGGCAGATCTCAAGGAACTCACTCGAATATCAGCGCAATCGGGCCCCAACATAGTCTTTCGGAGGCCGCTCCGATGCCGAAACCGAGAGTGCGGCGGCCTGACCTCGATATCTACGCAGCGCGAAAATAAGGGTTCGGTGCGAAGCGCTGAAGGGTTCACAACTCTGGAGAAGATGATGAAGTATCGCAGAAGCAGGGAAGCGAAATTTGGAGGGTTCAGAGTTATTGAAGACGTTATTCCCTAATGTTACAGGCCTCCATTTTTATTTTTTTATTCCCCCCTCCCCGTGTTGCATAGTGGGCTGATGGGCTGTTCGGGTCGAATATGTGGGTCGTTGGAGAAGTGGTGAGCTGGAAGTGGGCCACCGAAGCGTGCCGGTAGAATGTCACGTGACTAATTCATCTCATCAGCTATATGGAGATTGCCGCGTGCTGTAATGCAATTTCAGATTTACAAATCGATTTTTTTCAAATATAATATTAAGAAAAAAAATAGCCATTTATGCTGATTTACGGGCTGTCCGGATTTGGAAGACCTAACGATAGCATGTGGCGCTGTGATTCGGCAGAATTAGAACCAAACAGAGGTTTTCACGGATGAATGGAATTAATAAAGATTTGCACAGCTCGACGGAACAGCTAATTGCACTTTCACGATGTGACGGAATAGAAATAGAAATAACAAAAGAAAAAAAGAGCGGAGATAATTACTTTCAAAGCACTCAGAATACTGATATTTACAAATCAAGTGCTCGGGTGATTTTTTTTAAAATTATTGGATCGATGCATTTACATTTACGTATATCATGATTAAATAATTGAGAATTTTATTAAAATGAAAAATATGGTTTGGATTTTTATCATGAATTTTGATATTTGAGTGAGAACACGAAAAATGGATGAAAGATGGTAATTGATTTGTAAATGACAATGCTTTGGGTGCACTATATGTAATTGCCTCCAAAAAATAAAATTTACATTAATTTTAAGGGGTTGGAGAGCCGACTCATAAGGTTAGAGAGAGAAGTTATAGCGATTTCACAAGCTCCGCTTAAGGTTTCTTGGGTTCCTTTTGATTTTCCATTTTTATGGAAAATAGCCCAAGAGATCTTCATCCCTAATCTTCTTCTAGTGTTCAATTTGATTTTTAGGCTTTTAGGCCTTCTTTTTTATTATGGACCTTTCTTTGCTTCATCCTCTTTCTTCTTCTTCATCTCGTTCTTTACTCAAACCTATACCTTCTCTTAATTGAAAAGAGTTGATCTATCCTCATCTAAAATATTGTAATTTCAATCTCTCTTTTGTACCTTCAGTATATGATGAAGTAGTCTTCTCAGATCAAGAAGTAAATAGATCTAAATAATGGGTGTGGGCCTTAGTAAACTATTCGCTAGGTAAAAGACCCTTTTACATTAATATAAAAGGATAATTTGTATCTCCGCTAAAGGAGAAGTCGCTTGACAACTACGTCGCGTGGAGAAAATACTTCTATCTCTTATAGGGAACTCGTCTTGTACTAGACGGCGTAATTTTTCAAAGATTGCATGAGGACAAACTATGTTCTTCACGTATGTTGAAGGTTTGTTGCTAAGTTTTGATACATGGGATGGATTTGTAGATATATAAGTGTTAAGGATGTTAACTTCTTGAGGGTGAACTTCATTGTATGGAGGGGTTGCCAAATGTGTACCGCTAATTAGCATATTTTTGAGATAATTGTGCCCCTCCGATAATGCACTATCGTTGATTGTCAAGCCTCAAGATAAATTCTAAGGATCCCATTTTGAGATTTCTCCTTTTTTTTTTTTGCATGATCTTCTTGAGGTGCAAAGGATGTTCATTCACCAGATGGGCGAAGTATATAACTAAGAAGCAAAACGAAAGCTTGGCTCCCCAGACTTTGAGAGTTTGCCTTGTAATGGAAAATAATAGAGTGAGAAGCCTTTGTATTGCATTTGTTAACCATTAAAGAAGAGTGTATTTCTATATGCGGAGATTATTTTCTCGCTGACGATGTTAAATTATCATGTGCAAGAAGATTCGTGATGATAGAGTAATAAGTTAAGTCTTAGCATCGCATAAATATCTAACACACAAAAATAAATAAAAAGTAACAGGAGAGGAGACCCACTTTTTTTATGGAAAAATCTTAGAAATGAAAAATATCATGGGGCCCGGCATAGTCAATGTAATTCATTATATAATTGTAATTACATAGGTCACTCTTCTTCTGAGTTAGAGAAAATGAAATTACAAAACTGATAATTATAAATGTACAATAGTATATTAATCATAACAGTCATAATTAGACTACAATAAATATGGTTCTTAGCTACAATAATGACAATTGTTCACAATGGTCTTTATTGATTATCACAAAGGCAACAGTTGACAATAAAAGTTGTTGTCCGTGGCTACAATATCGATAATTGGTCACATGGGCTATACTTGAAACCGTTAATAGTAGTACTTAGCCACAAAGATTACAGATGGTTGTTATAAAGGTAGTAGCTAGTCATAAAGAATGTAGTAGATGGATGAAATAGCAGTTGTTGGTCATATAAGCTGAAATTTGAAGTTGTAAAAATATTAATAGGCCACAAAAGTAGTATTTGGTTACTACAAAGGTAGTGTCTGGTCATAAAAATTATAGTCAGTAACTGCAATAGTGGTAGGTCATAGTTGAAAGTTGTAATTGATCATAAAGGTCATAGTTGGTTACTACAAAGGTAATAGTTTGGTATTACAGGTTGTAATCGGTGGTTATAATAGGGACAGTTGACCACATATGCTATAGTTAGAAACTTAACGGTAGCAGTTGGTCATAAAGGCTTAGTTGGTTGCTATAAAGGCAGTAATTGGTCATACATGCTATAGTTGATGGCTGCAATAGTGGTTGTTGGCCACATAGCCCATAGTTAAAAGTCATAATAATAATTAGTCACAAAGGCCATAATTTGACTACAACAATTGTAAGAAATGGCTGTCAACGACAGCATATAGTGATGATGGACAGAGGTTGAAAGTGGCAGACATGCGGTGGTTAAAGGTAGCCAGTGGCTACAAAGGTCAAAGTTACTCATTTAGTCTTATCCAAAACAAGCTCTGGAATTTTATTTATTTTTCTCTTCTTCTCCTCCTCTCAAGTGAAAAGATGAGTATATTTATAGCCTTTTGGAATGTGCATTTTGGTTTTTTGGCCCACGATTTCTCTAACCATCTAATCTGACGGTTCACGTCAATTTCAATTTCCTTAATTATATAGGGTTTTTTTTAGGATTTGGATGCTTTAATGATCATGAAATTTAGCAATTTTTTGCTTGTTGGATTCCTCCCGTCGAGACATTCATTTTGAATGTAAATATGTCAAATTATGATTTTATTTGATCATTTAGGTGATGATCCAAAAACTCCAATTATGCTTCAACAGCTTGATATGACCTTGTTAGACCCAAATTGAATCAATTTTGACTTCGTTGGATTCGTCTAGTTTAACGATAGAATTGCTCAAATCAAAGCCCATATAATCTTCAAATTTAATTTAAAAGATCCTTTATAAGAAAATGCATCAATATTCGTGACTGATAAAATTTTTTTGATGGCACATCAATTCATAAAAATGATTTGATTTTGTGGTCTCGATATTGTATATTATTATAATAGTATTATATCAGTATTAAATCATTTGTTAATGGCTAAAATGACCAAAAAATCCTCAAAAATAATTATTGGATTTCCACGAAGTTGGTGTAGACATTTTCTTGTTTTAGAGTGTCGTAGAAAATCAATTATATATGTACATATTTACGTATGTTTTTGTATATTCACATAATATCATATAAAGTAAATGACTAATGTCTTGTATGGATACATGTAAGCATATCTGATTATGTGGCATATGATTATTAGCATAAAGTACATTATTATAATTGATACATAACCATTAAATTTCCATTATCCGAGCACAAATCTCGAAGCATGACACGGATCTTGAGATAATATTTTGAGTAGGGGATATTCAAACTTTTATAAAAACTCATTCAGAGCTTCGATTTCGGCAAACTTATTGTCAAATTGACCGGTTCGATGGGACAGACCTAATGATATCAAAGTCAGTCCAATTTAAGTAAAATCAAGCCCACATTAAGTCATTAAACCATTCTTGGAAGATTTCTAGACACATTTAAAAGGTCAAACAGATGCAGTTACAAGCAAGTTTATACTTGAATCGAGAGTCTCGATAAGAAGGATCCAACAAGCTCAAGATCATTCAATTTCAACATTGTTAAGACACTTAAATGTCTATCAAACAAAAAAAACTCACTGAACAGTTCAATCAAAAAAGTTCTTATTCTTGCATTAATTGCTCCCATAACACTATAAGTAGACTCCCACCCCTCACATGAGAGGGAGCTAAAGCCTAGAAATAGAGCCTAAGGACTTAAGGAGGAGTTGTAGCTCAGCACCACCACTGACCGCCCTCAACCACCACTGATCATCGTCGACCATCGCCGACAGCCCTCGACCATCGCAGACCGTCGTTGACCTCCATCAACCACCGCCGACCTCCATCAACCACCGCCGACCACCGCCAAAAAAATTCCTTGAGTCAATGTTATAACTTGGAAAATATAGTAATCATTTCTCATTTGTGGGACAAGAGCTCATCATTATGGTCCATGTGCCAACAACAACCTATATGGTCAGTAGTTCATGCAACTCCTGATTCCGGCCCCCCGCGGCCTACGAACATCACTAATACTCGCCCCAACGGCTTACGTAGTTCACAGCTCATGCAGCTCCCAACTCTGGCCCCCACGACCAACGAACGTCATTCATACTCGCCCCAACGACCTACAAGGTTCACAGATTGTGTAGCTTCGGACTTCGACCCCCGCGACCTACGCAAGTCACTAGTATTCGCTCTAGAGACCTACATGGTTCACGGCTCGTGTAGCTCCCGACTCCGTCTCCCGCGACCTACGAATGTCATTCATATTTACCCAAATGGCCTAAATTGTTCGTAGCTCATGAAGCTCCCAAATTTGATCCTCGCGGCCTACAGATGTCATTCATACTCGCTCTAATGACATGCGTGGGCATCAGCTCATAAAGCTCCCGACTCCGACCCCCGCAACCTACAAACATAATTCATACTCACCCCTACAGCCTACGTGGTTCACAGCTCGTGCAACTCTTGAATCCATCCCTTGCGGCCTACGGGCGTCATTCATACTCGCCACTACGAC